AAACTGTGGTAACCATTACAAATAATATATTATTATTTATTATTTATTATTATTATGCCTAGTAACTTACTCTTATAATTGCATATATTAAATATATGTAATTATAAACAGTTAAATCACAAATTATAATTATTTAGAACATTCTTTATTATTATTCAGAAATAATTAAGAATACAGATATGATATTATTGATTTTGGGTAAAACTCCATTTCAGCGTATTTTATTCTCCGTTGCTTGTTTACCTCCAGTTGAGCGTATTTTATTATAACAACCGAAACACACCAAAACATTAGGAAAAAAATGCGATTTATTTTTTGTATTGTATTTTTGTTTTAGCAAAATGAATAAAATGAATGTTTAAAAAACACGACTTATTTATTTGTATTGTATTTTTGTTTTAACAAATGAATAAAAAACAACAAAGAGACTGACTGAAGTGCTTTGTTTGTTGGTTACAAAAATAGAGATGCACACTTTGTACAATTAAGTGTTCCAATTTCAACTAAACTGAATAGAAGTATTAAAAGGCACAATGATGCTGCCGAAAGTGGGCGAGGGGGGGGGGGGTGGAATTTGGTGAGGGATGGCTTGGAGTGTTAGAGAAAGTGTGACAACTCACGTTGTCATTTTAAAAAAAATAATGTTAGAGGTCGTCCATAAATGACGTCACACTCGTAGGGGGAGGGGGGGGGGGGGTAATTTTGTGACGGTGTGTGATGAGGGGGGGGGTTCAGATGGTGGCTACGTCATTTTGGGGGGGGGGGTCTTGCTTTTTGTGACGACACGCTTTTTTACGATTTTTTACCTCCCCCCTCCCCTCCGTTACACGTCGTCACAAAAAGTCAGACCCCCCCCCCCCTAAAATGACGTCACACCTCAGCCTACAACCCCCCCCCCCCCCCTCAAAATTTCTGTTGAATTTTTCTTAAAACATCGATAATTTTTTCCAAAATCTTGTCAGAACTCTGTCAACATAGATTATTTTGATCAATTCATATTACAATTTATTAAAAACCGTTTTCTAAAACGCGAAATAACGGCTAAAACTTGTTTTTCTAACATTGCTTTTTTATAATGCAAAAAAGGGACGTCACACCATCTGAAACCCCACCCCCTCCCCCTCATCACACATCGTCACAAAATTGCTGACCCCCCTCTCCCTTACGAGTGTGAAACATTTATGGACGACCCCACATCAATTTTTTTTTAAAGTCAGAAATTAACTCATACAAAAAAAGGAAGGATGGTAGATTTACAATGAATTTAAATAACATACAACTCTATAGTAAATTTTTTTTTCAGTTTTAGCAAAACTGTCATATTAAAAAACACAGAGTTTGTACATTTATTGCATAAATACAAAAATATAAAACAGAATGATTAACCGTGTATCAGTTTCACCATGAGACAAATGCCTTTTTTAAAAAAAAATACAATACAAATAAACAAGTCGTGTTTTTTTAAATATTCATTTTTATTCATTTGCTAAAACAAAAATACGATACAAAAAATAAATCGTGTTTTCCGTATTGGTGTGTTTCGGTTGTTATAATAAAATACGCTCAACTGGAGGTAAACAAGCAACGGAGAATAAAATACGCTGAAATGGAGTTTTACCTGATTTTGATATGGCTTTAAATAAATATGCACAACTACAAAGGAAAAACTAAAACGTTTTGAACATTTTAATTCTTAAAAACCTATTATTTTCAGCTGTTAAGAAATGTTTCGGCGATTATGATGACCACAACAGTCATGTGATCAAATTAGCCAAAATGGCGTTGTAGGATAGAGGAGGTCGAACCAAAACATCTCATCAATAACAGTTTGGCCTAGTTGATTTAGTTGAATGAAAAATTAATACATTGTGAATGAAAATTGTGTGAAACAAATAGACACCACGATGTCAATGAGAGACGTTAAAGTTTGTCTCTTAGGGGTACGTGAGAGTTGATGGGGACCAGGATTCCTCTTGTTGACTTTTTTTTTTTCATTTAATTTTAATATTGTTATTATTTATTAGACCCTTATTATTAAATAATAAATAAATATAGGGCCTAGGCCTAAAGTAAATTAATAATAATATAATAATTTATATATATAATTCTCTTCTTGGAGATGATAGAAAATACCAAGCTGTAAGCGCGCTCCCTACCACCCCCACCCCTACATTGTCTGGTGAGCTGTGGTTCACGCTAAATCAAATGTTTACAAACGTAGAGCCGGGTTTAGTGACGGCTCTTAGGAGTAGATAATGTAGTTTGAAACGATTTTAAACTTAGGGGAGGTAACTAAGAGGAGTTTGCTTTCAAGGGTGGGGGGGGGGGGGGGGTTTGGGGAAAAGGAGGGGTGTATCTTCCTTAATTACCATCTGATATGTCTGATAGTGTTTTAAAGCAAATATTTTCAGTGGCAGCATTGGTACTGTCGAATTCACAAATTATGAATTACTAAAAAGTAGGAAATAAAATAACTAAATAGCGTCGTATGATATGCCACGGGTCGGCTCGTAATATTATATTAGGCCTATTTGGGCCTAAATATTATTTATTTATATTTATTTATTATTATTATTAGCAGTATTACTATTAGGCCCCTTTTTATATATTTAATTTATTAATGAAAAACATTACATTTTAGGTAAACTATCGTTTTAGGACGTTAGGTCCATTGGTCCATAAAATTGGTTGAGGTTAGTAACGTGAAAGAAAGGTGACTCATACTCATTGATATAGCTTTAATATTTAATACAAGTATATTTTGTGATATATTGTTTGTATCAAATATAATATATAATTGAATTATAAACCAGAAGCAATGTCTTGAGATATATCAGTATAAGCCAGAAATTAACTTTAAACAGCGGTGTTTAAGAGCAAGATTTGCTATATAAACGCAACCGCCTGTAAATAAGAGAGGTTTTCCCTTAATCTCTAACAATAAGTTCACAAAAATTAAACTTTAATAACATGGCTGCTAAAAAAACTATCTTGTTTGCATCTCATGAAAACATAGCTAATCTTCATTTAAAGAAGTATAAATACATTTTTAAGGAATAATACATTAATGCTAATTACTTTAAAAACAGGTACATGAAACATTTTTGGAACTTTTCAAACATAAATTCTCCTAAAAATGTGAAATAATTACTAGATATCTAAAATGTAATGAGTCACCTTTCTTTCACATTACTAGCCTCGGACGATTTTATGGACCTCAAACGATAGAATACCCTTTTTTAATACTTACAATTAGATTTTGTAATTACTATTACTAATTAGGGCCTAGTTAGAATACACTTTTAACTAGATTACGATTTGTTTACTGTTGCTTAGAAAAGATTTATTTTCATAATGGTCCTAAGCGAGAATAGTCTACAAGGCAAGTTATACGAGAGGCAGATTTGGGTATGGGTAGATTTTGTTTTAATATTTAATACAATATTTTGAAACTAGCATCACAGTATTATTCCTTAAAAATGTATTTATACTTATTTTTACCTTTCTAGGAATCTGGTGTTGGTAAATCAAGTATTGTAATGAGATTTGTTGCTGATAAATTTAAGAATGCGCTTGAAAGTACAATAGGGTAATCAAGATTATTCTAGTTCTAATATATAGATTTATATATATTTTTTTACGAGTAGTATTAATTGCAAGTTAAATGAATGATTTTTAAGTTTCAAAGACAGATTGCAGCGTTACATACTAAAATATTATGTTTATTAAAAATAAATGTCACTCAATTTTTTTCAGGGCATCATTTATGACAAAAACCATATTTTTAGATGACAACACTTATAAGTTTCAAATATGGGATACAGCTGGGCAGGAAAAAGTACTGATACCATAGTTAAATTAATTTAAGTACATGATTACTTCGCAGATGGATTTATTACTTTTAGTAGTTAATCTTTTTAAAAAGAACTAGATCTATATAGATTTTTGTGTAAGATTCTCATAACCTATAGTTACTGCTGCTTATTGTTAGTTTTTTTAACTTCATCCAAACTTATTCCATTCCAATTTCTTTTAAGTATCGAGCGCTCGCACCCATGTATTATAGAGGATCAGCTGCAGCCATTATCGTTTATGATGTTACTAGAGAGGTTAGTAAAGTTTTTATAAAGAATAGTATGTTCAATTAAACAGCTAACTTTTAAAGTGTGTTTTTTAATGGTGTAGTGTTAATAATACTAAATCTTACAGGAATAATGAAAAATAGCTTGATGAGAATTAATTTATTTTCAGACCTCCTTCCACGCTGTAAAAGGCTGGGTTCATGAACTGCAACGCCACGGGCCATCAAAAATTGTTATTGCTATAGCTGGAAACAAATGTGACCTTGAAGACCTGAGAGAAGTCAGAGAGAAAGGTAAAACTCATCTGCTGTTAGAGTTTTTTTTTTTAAAAAGTGCATTTTGGTTGGTGGGAACTCATTCTTCGGGGCATGAGGAACAGGGTTGGAAAGTTGAACCACACCATGGTATGAGGAAAGGTAACAGTACATGAGGAACAGGGTTGGAAAGTTGAACTACACCATGGTATGAGGAAAGGTAAAAGTACACACCATGGGCTGTAAGGTTTTAAAAATAAAACTGCAAAAAGTCCCCTTGTTTATTAAAAGTAACAAGAACATTTGAAGGATATTAGCAGAATTCCATATACATAATTTCAGATGCTCAAGAATATGCTAAAGAAATTGGTGCTATATTTTGTGAAACAAGCGCCATGACAGCTGTTAACATTGCAGAACTATTTGATGCCATAGGTAAAGTTGAACTATTTGTAGATTTTTTAAATGTTAGCCCATGTTTATCTGCCCAAAGGTTTGGTATTTTTGTAGCTGTAAACTCCAGTCAATGAGTATTTCAATTTTTTAGCGTTACAGAAAAGGGCAAAACTTACTAACCTGTATATTTTTTAGACTTGTCTTTACTGCGTACAATAATACATTTTAAATCTTTAAAAAAATATGAAGTAGGAGCAAAAAAAATCAAAGTTTTAAAAAACAAAAAACAAAGCAACCAAAAACTTAGTGATAGTAAGGCTAATTTGATTACAAAAATGTTCTTCCTCTTTTCCCCTCAGCCAAACTTTTGCCACCAGAAGACTTGGGTGGGGGTGTGGGTCAGCCTGGGGGGAGTACCGTCAACTTAAGGAACAACGCATCAAAAAAGAAAGGAAAATGTTGCAGTGGCTCTGCTGATTCAGAACCTGCCACCAACCGTCGCAGTGCTTCTGCTGCACATGGATCAAATTATTCTTCCTTTCAATCTTGATATCAACATTGGATCAAGTCTCGTCTTCTTACTTTCATACAAGTATGCATTTTGAGTGAATATGCAGTCATCAGTCTTGAAATAATGTTAATATTTATTAACATATTACACCTGTAGTTTAAATCCGACGTACATATTTATATTCAAACAAAATATGTGCTCAGTAAATGCAATATGTCACTATCTATACTACATTCAAATATCAATGAACAAATGTGTAAATGCATGGTTTTTAAATTTTTGATTAAGCTGTTTATTTTACCTATGTGATTTTTTTATGAACTGGTCAATCATTAGAATGTTATATCCAGCAGAAAGAAATCATGTGAAGATAATGTTAGTTTGTAACACAGTGCGTGAAGTCATATGTGATGTGAACAGTACGCTAATGCGTTTATCATTTCTTACATTCCACTTATCACACTAGCTACTGGTGTTAATCTATTGTGATGCAAATGTTTATAAATAATTACCTACTTGCATTTTCTGTCCATATTTATTTTGAATATCCATATGCTGGACATAATGTTTTTAGCTTCTATTTAATTTGATTTTAAAATGTACACTTTCTATTTACGTTGGTCCTTAGATCAGTTTTAATTGGATCAGATTTTAAGTTCATAAGTTCAAGAGGTTTAGTTTTAGGATAATGCCATCTTCTGCTGATAAGCAACAGTGGCTCTCTAGGCTTGTGGATCAGATAGTTTTGATAGTTTTGACCATAGCACAAGTATAGTGGCGCCGCTAGGTCGAGTGTCACCCCCCCCCTGAAAAAAATTACACACACACACATATATATATATATATAAAGGTCTACTTAGGCCCATATATAGTTTTAACTGGTATCACCCCACTCATCAAAATCTGTCAAAAAGCATATTTTTTCTCTATATTTTGAAAGTTTTTGCCATGGTGTCACATGTCACACACACACACACACACACCCCAATGGTGTCACCCGGTATGGTCCGCACAACCCTGCACCCGCCTCGCAACGCCTCTGCCCAAGTACTAATTATAAACTTGTGGATGGGATAATTTTTGCCCCTCACTGTGAGGGCATGGTTCACAAGATTTGGCTAATCTTCAAATCTTGTCTACTTAGTGTCTGCATTCATTGCATAATAAATGTACTTACTTTGTGAGATAAAAGGCTTCTCTATCAAAAATAAATTTTAATTTGGCTTATCAATCTCCCTGCCATAGAAGTAACAATGCTCAATCTATAAAACACACCATTTTAGTTTTCAATTACTGCATCAATTGCAGTAATTTCTGTGTATGGCTGTTAACTATTGCATTATGCCATTTGTATGGCTCTGTTGCATTACGCTGTGTGTATGGCTACTATATTATGCTGTTAGTATGGCTAACAATTACATTATGCTGTATGTGTGGTTGATAGATATTGCAAATAATGTGTAAGATCAGTGTTCTGTGATATTCAGTACTGATTACACTGTCATATACACAAAAATATTTCTATCTTTGAATGCATCTCAGCAGTTTGATATTTAACTAGGTTGTGAATGTGCAATTAGAAACTTTAGTAGTATGTCAGTAATATTCATTTGTACCATATTTATGTGGTTTATATTTGCATCAATATAGTTTTCTACCCTGACCAGTGGTGTCCATTGTTAGGGCACCCAACACAGTTTTCTTACTAAAGCGCATGCTATTTTAAAGTAGATTCTTTTTGATAATAGTGGCCAAAATATTATGTTTGGTCCCATTGTGCTTAAGGAAATGGTGCTTGCTGTTAAGCTAGCTTCTTTCTTGCCACCAATACTGGGTTGAAAGTCTTAAGTTTGTCAAGTAGATGTTTTAAGATTTGCAATTTATGTACAGGTTTGTGTTGCCTTTCACCAAGCATGAAAGTATACATTATTACATCTTTCAAAGTATACATTTTTACACCTTTCAATGTATACATTTTTACACCTTTCAATTAGGTGTAATAAAAAAAAACCAACTTTTATTTTGTTACAAATCGACAAAAAAATATTTTATAACGCTAGATTTTTTAAACATATTTTTGCTTTTTTTTCCTGCTCTAATTAGTAATGAAAAATGCTTATGTTATAGTGTACCAGAATTGTTCCAAATGTGAGAAAGAGTTTTTGATACATTAAATAACCTGCTACTTGTTGCATCATTTTAATCAGTTCACCTGTCATAGTTTGAGAGTGGCTGTTGTTGTCACCTGTTATAGTTTGACAGTGGCTGTTGTTGTCAGCTATCATAGTTTGAGAGTGGCTGTTGTTGCCAGCTATCATAGTTTGACAGTGGCTGTTGTTGTCAGCTATCATAGTTTGACAGTGGCTGTTGTTGTCAGCTGTCATAGTTTGACAGTGGCTGTTGTTGTCAGCTATCATAGTTTGACAGTGGCTGTTGTTGCCACCTGTCATAGTTTGACAGTGGCTGTTGTTGTCAGCTATCATAGTTTGACAGTGGCTGTTGTTGCCACCTGTCATAGTTTGACAGTGGCTGTTGTTGTCAGCTATCATAGTTTGACAGTGGCTGTTGTTGCCACCTGTCATAGTTTGAGAGTGGCTGTTGTTGTCAGCTATCATAGTTTGACAGTGGCTGTTGTTGTCAGCTATCATAGTTTGACAGTGGCTGTTGTTGTCAGCTGTCATAGTTTGAGAGTGGCTGTTGTTGTCAGCTGTCATAGTTTGAGAGTGGCTGTTGTTGTCAGCTATCATAGTTTGACAGTGGCTGTTGTTGCCACCTGTCATAGTTTGACAGTGGCTGTTGTTGTCAGCTGTTATAGTTTGACCGTTGTTGCCCACATCTAGTCTGTGGATATCTCTTCCACTTCACTGAGCATATCTGTTGTTTATATCTAACTCTATGCCAGAAATGTTTTAATTTTACCTGATGCTATGCCAACATTTGTTTTTATCCAACTTTACAGCGAAATGTGTTTTGTTTTTATCTAAAGCTATATCATGTCTCTTGTCAGAAGAGATACAAAGTGGTTGAACAATTATTTTGTAGATTTCATTTTTATATTATCACCTCTGGTTTTTATAAAGACAGCTTATTTACTGACCACTAAATGTGAGGTGCCATATTTAGTTTTGTTCAAATCTTGAAGTAGATTTAGAGTACTTAATTATATTTTCTTTTGCATTTTTTATAATTATGTCTAATTTTACAGTTTTTAAAGGTGGTTTAGTTTTTCATATTCTGGGCCTAAGGTTAGCATATTTTGGGGATTTTGTTACTTTACTTTCTATATGCTTTGGCTCTGTGTGCTTTACACTTATGTTTCTATTAGACATTCCATAAAAACTGAAGATTCACATGTTTCTCTAAACATTGGAATTGTTACATTTTTTAAAAAAGGCGTTCAAACTGGAAGATTTTTCTCAAAAGTTTTAAAAAGAAAAAGATGTATTCTAAAATCTTAGGTTTAAAACTTTCACTTACGAGAACACTGCTAGTAAATGTTTTGTTGTTGCTAATGTTATTCATTGTTCCATGATGTGCCATAACAATAGTGAATGAAAAGTGTGCAATGGCCTTTTATGTTTTTACTTTTCTTTAAACTCTACTAATCTAGACTTGCAGAAATAATTTTTTAATAACAAAAAATGTATACTTTTGGCAAACATGATTAAAACTAGTGTAAATGATGAAATGATATTCCACAGTTGTGTACATAGCCCACTTGTATTTGGAATAATTTATTGAACTGAAATGTACCATTACAGCTGGTTTTGTTACCTTGTTTTTCTGCTTGGCTCATCTGGAGAACAAGTGAATGTGTTTTGTACCATATTGCACTGTTTCAGGCTCTGAAGTTGGGAAACAGTTTTATATTGCTAAATGTTGATTATTGAATACAATTATAAAATACATAAATTTTAAACCTACTGATGGTTTCAGTTGATCAATTCTTGATCAATACTTTTGATGTTTTTATTTTTTTATTACTAAATAATTTCATAAAATTAAATTCTCTTTATTCATGAAAACGAAAACCATTAATTATCAACAGATTAATTCCCCTTGTAAAGGAAGCTGTAGGTCTGCATTAGAACATAAGCTGGGCTGTTGATACAGAAAGGCTGTGGCTTAACAGCTCAACTGCTGTCTCAACAGCTGTGGTGTGTGGGAGGTGGGCCTGTAACAGCTGTGGTGTGTGGGAGATGGGCCTGTAACAGCTGTGGTGTGTGGGAGATGGGCCTGTAACAGCTGTGGTGTGTGGGAGATGGGCCTGTAACAGCTGTGGTGTGTGGGAGATGGGCCTGTAACAGCTGTGGTGTGTGGGAGATGGGCCTGTAACAGCTGTGATGTGTGGGAGATGGGCCTGTAACAGCTGCTGTGTGTGGGAGATGGGCCTGTAACAGCTGTGGGAGATGGGCCTGTAACAGCTGTGAGAGATGGGCCTGTAACAGCTGTGGTGTGTGGGAGATGGGCCTGTAACAGCTGTGGTGTGTGGGTCAGCTGTGGTGTGTGGGAGGTGTGGCTGTGCCTTGCATCTAGGCTGCTGAGTTTTAAAAATAACTGGTCTTGGTCTTGGATCCAGGGGAGAGCCAATTCAATGATGAAATCTAATTGATTCATTCAGCACTCTGGTTCATCAATCTGATTATACCTGATTCTTTTATTTGTTTCATTCCCTCGCATATTTTACTGATTCACCTATCTACTTCACTCACCAATCTACTTCACTCACCAATCTACTTCACTCACCAATCTACTTCACTCACTAATCTGCTCCACTCACCAATCTTCTTCACTCACCAATCTACTTCACTCACCAATCTACTTCACTCACCAATCTACTTCACTCACCAATCTACTTCACTCACCAATCTACTTCACTCACCAATCTACTTCACTCACCAATCTAACTTATCAATGTTTTATGCTTGACCCCCACCCCTCCCCCAACGTTATCAATACCACTTGTTTTTTATTTTGTGAAGCCTCATTTTTTTTTCTAGTAGATCCATATCTGTGTTTATTATTTTAACAACTTGCCCCTGTGCAAGCAGATCTGTGGTTCTTAACCTGGGTTCGATCGAACCCTGGGGTTTCGGTGAGTCAGTCCCAGTGGATCGGCGGAGGGCAACACATATCTTGGATTTTATTCAATTATTGTTCAACTTTAAATCGCCCAACATGTAGCGCTAAATTGTGTAATATTTACACACTGCTCAATAAAAAAAAAACTCTGTCAGAGCTGAAACAATGTCGAGCACACAAGCATATCAATAACACACGTGACACGCTGGATGTAAACAGCGTGCTTTTAATGAGAGTGCAAAATGGCACAAGGAACGCGCTACAACAATCAATGACTAGAGCTACCAAATATGGTCATCAATGAAGGGAAACCACCGCCTTCCCCGCGAACGTGCTGACGACGCGAGACACAAAACTAAGCCTGTGTGACCGAGTCGACACAGTTTCTCGGCGTACAGTTGACATCTGCGATTAGACGGCGGGTCAGCTGATCACAGAGCCACCGCCCATTTCCGACCGGCTCCCCCTTCTTTATTCTACACATTCACACATTTAAAGTACACACCATAACAGGAAAGTTTAAATTGTGAGATTTAAACATCTTTAAATAGGGAAAACTGTAATTTTTTAGGATAGAAGAGTTGTAAAGAAATCCACCATGTCTACGACCATTGATAAAGAAGCTGTGAACTGTGCATACGAGGAAGTAAGGGACGACAACAGTCCCATCACATGGTGAGTGACGCTTTCTCTCTATCTCTGTAATGGGGACGTAACGAATTAATTATACACAATAAGCCACATTGAATTATTTTATGGAATGGGTAAAGGTAAAATTTAATTACGATTTTAATCGTTATTAAGAACGCGTAATTAAATGATGGACCAAGAGGAATAGTTACACGCCTACAACCTGAGTCAAAAATAATTGACGTCGCACTCTAGATCTAGATCGACTCACTATATTTATAATAATTATACTCAAATATTAGAATATCTAGATTCTAAATAGTAAAATAGATCTAGATATTAAAATTTCGTTTTTTTGTTGGGCTAGGACTAGGTGGGTAGATGTGAATTTAAATGCGAATTCACCTGTTAAAAAATGTGTCATGCACATTGCGCATTAAGATTGTATGACAATGTATGAGAATGCAAACAAAAAAAAACAACATAGGCCTACACAATGCCCCAGATGACAAGCCGTTAACTTTTAATGAATAACTTTTTTATTTTATTTTAAACTACATTTTGTAGTATCAGCACTTTGATCGCCGCCATTTATTTAAAATGAAGGGGAAACGACTGAGTTTTTATGTCGCTACGTCACAACAAAGCAAACATGATTCACACACCCAGATTTCTTAGGGAAAAAAAAACAATCACACTAGCTGTCGACTGCAGGAACAATTATGGGTACTCCTCCTCCATCAAAACCTATTTTGGCAGCTTGGTTTCATTGTTGTAGTTCTACATAGAAACACGGTTAAGCCTGCTGTGTATTTATCTGTCAAATCATGTGAAGCGACCAATCAATAAATTATCCCCACCCACCTTTTGAGACCCTGACATTTTTCCCACCATGACGCATACGTTTCTACCACAGTGCACTGACTAACCTGGGCCTTGTTTAGCTACACCTTTATCGTGCTCTGGACTTGTGGGGTTATTACAGGTGTCTACGTTGTTGACTAGACAAAATATTGCTACAGGTGTCTACTTTATTGACTAGACAATATATTGCTACAGGTGTCTACGTTATTGAATAGACAATATATTGCTACAGGTGTCTACGTTATTGACTAGACAATATATTGCTACAGGTGTCTACTTTATTGACTAGACAATATATTGCTACAGGTGTCTACTTTATTGACCAGACAATATATTGCTACAGGTGTCTACTTTATTGACCAGACAATATATTGCTACAGGTGTCTACTTTATTGACCAGACAATATATTGCTACAGGTGTCTACTTTATTGACTAGACAAAATATTGCTACAGGTGTCTACGTTGTTGACCAGACAATATATTGCTACAGGTGTCTACTTTATTGACTAGACAAACTATTGCTACAGGTGTCTACGTTATTGACTAGACAATATATTACAACCTTTCCCTTCCTCTGTTTTCTGTTCGTTTAGAAGTAGCCACCATAAGAAAATGGGAATGAACTATGAGTAATCTACACCAGTCGTGACACGTCGTATGCAGTTTTGTGTATGTCTGTGTGGGGTGGATGGTGGGGGCTGATGAAACACTCCAGAACATTCACAAACATTGTGAAATGGCGTTGATTAGTCATCCATGGCTTGACCGTGTAACGAAACGGTTAACATTCCATTTGTTGACCATGGGTTGACCGTATGAAGAAAGATTGACATCCCATTTGTTGACCATGTGAAGAAACGATTGACATCCCATTTGTTTACCGTGTGAAAAAATGTTTAAAACCAGAACTGATTTTTCCCTGTACCTCCGACACATTCAGGTTGATTAAGTTGCAAACCTAGCTCTGGTCTTTAGCTCTCTGTAATCTCCACACACACAAAAACAGTAGGTATCTGCAGACACCCCCAGTACATATCTGCAGACACCACCAGTACATATCTGCATACACCACCAGTACATATCTACAGACACCCCAAGTATATATCTGCATACACCACCAGTACATATCTGCAGACACCACCAGTACATATCTACAGACACCACCAGTACATATCTGCAGACACCACCAGTACAGATCTACAGACACCCCAAGTACATATCTGCAGACACCCCCAGTACAGATCTGCAGACACCCCCTGTACATATCTGCAGACACCACAAGTACATATCTACAGACACCCCCAGTACATATCTACAGACACCACCAGTACATATCTGCAGACACCACCAGTACATATCTGCATACACCCCAAGTACATATCTACAGACACCACCAGTACATATCTACAGACACCACCAGTACATATCTGCAGACACCCCCAGTACATATCTACAGACACCACCAGTACATATCTGCAGACACCCCCAGTACATATCTACAGACACCACCAGTATATATCTGCAGACACCACCAGTACATATCTGCATACACCCCAAGTACATATCTACAGACACCCCCAGTACAGATCTGCAGACACCACCAGTACATATCTGCAGACACCCCCAGTACAGATCTGCAGACACCCCCAGTACAGAACTACAGACACCCCAAGTACATATCTGCATACACCACAAGTACAGATCTGCAGACACCACCAGTACAGATCGGCTTTACAGCTGACACTTCACAGTAGAACAGCAGACACCTCTCAGCAGATATGGCCATACGGCCCACGGCGCTGCATTTCTTGCTGCATTGTTCTGGGGTTGTTTCCTTGCTTGTCTTTTGCCCCAGTGTTACATACCCCGCTACGAGATCTTCAGGCCTGAATTCTCCCTAGTAACACGCGTAGTGAGATGTGTAGCAGACTAGACAGCTCTCATTTGGGTCGTCAACAGATACATCCGGTTCAATGAACTTGGCCTTTCTAATTTTAGATTTGTTCAGTCTCGTTGGTTGTGTGGGCCGATGCGGCGTTAAGTCTAGGAGTAGCTGTCCCCCGGGCGCCGGGACCCCAAACTACGCCACAGATTTTGGTGTAGGATAAACTGGTGCAACAAGATTTATTGTAGAAGTTACCTTTGTTTTTAGCATAATCACGTCGATTTTTGGGTAGGTTTATTTCCGGTGGAAGGGGGGGGGGGATGTCCTCTGAAACAGATTTAGTCTTACTTTTTATTTTTACCAATGGCTCCCACTATTGATGACATGGATGAAAACGCGTTTTTTTTTCTGTTTGTAAATTTTATCGTCTTTATCGACCATGAAAAAACGAACCTTTCTGAAATGTATTATTTTAAGAATCAATGGTATATGTAACAACTCGTATTTTGTTGATAGGATAATATTAATACGGTCGTTATTGTGGGTTCTTTCATTCAGGAACACGATCAACAGTGCTTTTTAACTTTAAACTTTATTTACATAGATCCACAAGAATAATGACAATAATCCAAAGTAGAAGAAACGACAAATTGACAAATCTTACATCTTACTTCACAGACACAGGCAAGCACCCTTGTTCACCTTGCGCTCCCCTTTTATACCTTACATTCTCTCCCCTTACGTCTGTGAGCGATCTCACATGGGAAAAACATGACGAGTCGCTCACACAGTGTTTCCGTTGGCCAGGTACTCTACATTCATGCAACTTCATGTTAAAATACAATATAGTAATCATACCCAATTATGAAAATGCAAAGAACATGAAAATACTTTTTTAATACGCTGCACACGATTTTTGAATATTTAAAAGAGCCTCTGAAAATGCGAGGGCCATTGACTTAGACTTAGAGGTTAAATAATCACGTTGATGTTTTAGACATAGAATTGAGGAGCATATAACTGCTCATAACGAAGTGGTTCTTTAGCCATACATTCTTTAATACCGTATGTAAAATAAAAATGTTTGTAGGCTACTACTACCGTTTAAGTTTAAACCTTAGACTGTAGACTAGTAGGCCTTCTACCAGTGGTTTAGTTATGTCTTCTGTTCGAAGGTTTGTTTTGTCTTGTTTATGTTGTAATACTTTTTAAAACTGTAAACATGTGCTCGTTGATACTTTTGTTGAATAATAAGTGATCGATTATTGTTTTGATAGTTTATTTTTATCTGTAGGGAAAACTCCCTTCCAGGTAAGCCTAAGCCGTATCGCTGTGTGGATTAGTGTCAAGGTTACGTCATGGTTGCCATACAAGAAAAAAAAGTTTCCTGTGTTAGTCAATGTCGATTTTCTTTAGTTTTGAAATCCGAAAATTCAATTCGACCATCGACTGACTTTTTAACTAAGACAGCCTTGCTAAATTTGTATGATTTCTGCTAAAAACGTCCACAGTTTCAGCTTTGTGATAGTCTTTAGCAGTCTGTTGTCGTTGGGCCGTTGTGTACGCACTGTCTTCCGCCCGAACAACGCGAGCGCTGCCCAGAAAACTATTTCACGTCAACAACGCAATTGGCAGGCATGTCGATCCGACTGCGAATTGTTTGAGGGGGGAACTGTTGCAACTTTCTTTAGGAGTACACCGATTTAGTTGAAGTGTTGCAACTTTCTTTAGGAGTACACCGATTTAGTTGAAGTGTTGCAACTTTCTTTAGGAGTACACCGATTTAGTTGAAGTGTTGCAACTTTCTTTAGGAGTACACCGATTTAGTTGAAGTGTTGCAACTTTCTTTAGGAGTACACCGATTTAGTTGAAGTGTTGCAACTTTCTTTAGGAGTACACCGATTTAGTTGAAGTGTTGCAACTTTCTTTAGGAGTACACCGATTTAGTTGAAGTGTTGCAACTTTCTTTAGGAGTACACCGATTTAGTTGAAGTGTTGCAACTTTCTTTAGGAGTACACCGATTTAGTTGAAGTGTTGCAACTTTCTTGTAGAATACACCGATTTAGTTGAAGTATTTCAACTTCCTTTTAGAATCTAGCCATTTGGTAGAATTTTATTGCATATTTTCGTAATAAGTAGACGAATGAAATTTTCGCGGAAATAAACACTGTGCTTATATCACCTTAAGGTTGATGCCACAAAAGATGGTTATATCATTAATTCAGTTCAAATTTTCTAAGATTATATCAAAACCTAAGCCTAATTTAGAAATAATGCGTTAAAACATGTTATTA